GATAAAAATGGTCCTTCTTATATTTGCTGAAGATCTTAATTTTTTTAGTGGGTTCAGGCGCCATTTTTTTTATGGAAATTAAATCAATGCCTTGTAATTTGGGACTTATCTGCCGGGCATTTCATCCAAAATTCATAGAGAGGGTTCATCAGGGAAGGCCTGTAAGCAGCGTCATGCTATTTTCTCACTGGCCCTGCTGTCATGAATTTGCTCCGGTACAAAATACACAGAGATTTTGCCAGCAGAAATTAAATCACCCCCCCTGTTTTTCACTCCAGTCCCTTCTGAAAACCACAATCAGGAGATGTCTTCAGGCTTATTTACGCATATTAGCAGGTTTTGGTCGATAATTGTTTATTCTTTGTTTTTCCACAGACGCCTGGGAAATAATGACTTTTCACTGCCTAATAGCCGGCGCTGCATCCAAGGAAAAAATGGGAAAGATTCGCGACTTTATCCATTGGGCATAACAAGCATCCTATTTTCAGCGCTCGGTGCGTGCCAAGGGAACACCGCCTTACGGCTGGACGGTTAGCGTTAGCGTTCATTCATCATTAAATCTTTGCTGATGCTTAGACTGTTCTTTGGCGGGCCTTTTTCATCAGAGAAGTTAGGGACGAGAGACGGGGGAAGTTCTTGGGCACCGCTTCCCCTCGCACCGCCACCTTCTCAGACAGGCCCCTTCCCTTATTGGGCCACCCTGCGAGCAAAAGGGGTTGGGACGTTGTTGTTTTATGCTAAAGCTATTACTCTCTGGGCTGGGCGCCTGCCCCGGGAGAGCTGGACCTGCCTCTGCCTGCTAACTGATTATTCAGCCCAGAGACGCTGCACATCCTATGTATACAAGCTGTCACATGTTTAGGCTGAATGATACGCTGATTGGCCTCTCGGCAATGGAGGAGTTTAGTTAGCTTAGCAGTTTTAAATATGCTGATTAGGATTTATATGGAAGCATTCACGCCTGTACTAATTATCTAGTATACGATGAAAATGTTGGGCTTGCTCGTTTCGGTTATGTCACGGACCTCATTAAACAGTCCTGACAATGCAGGGACCGACACCCAACTTGAGGCCGAACTGGGTTACACAGCTAGCTTTCCACAATAGATCTGAATGATGACAACACTCTCCATGTTACAGGGAGGTCAGGCACCAGAAACATCATCTGCTTCAAGAAATAGCCACAGCCTCGCAGCCAAACTGCCCGCTTTCTCTGACCTCAGTATAACATGTCCATGGGACTCGAGCACATCAATTTCACCCTGCGCGGAGTTTATTTAAACTTCATCTTCATCTGCCTACAAGTTTCCAAAAGAATTCACCTCAAAACACGTTGGATCCTGGATTCTTCTTCTCTTATTTACACAGAGCCCAGTGTTTATAAGTGGTGTGGTGTGTTCGTCGTGGTGTCGTGTGTGTGTGGTTGTGTGTCGTGGTGTGTGTGTGTGCTGTGTACGTGGGAAGGTATGCCTGTGTCCTCTTCACTCACCGGCTGCCCAGCGGAGCTCCGGAGGATGAACAGGCAGGCCTTTCTTTAGAGTGGAGGATTATCAGTGTGACAGTCTCATGACATCTTCCTTCTCTCTAACACACACACACACACACTGTCTGGTGTGTTGCTATCCTACTGTGCAACACACACACAACACGGGTCAGTAGGTCAAAGTTGGGTGGCAAAATGCCATATTTGAAGGTGCTTATCATAACATGATGTACACTGATTATGTGTGTGTATGATTATGTAATTCATCTTCAACCAATTACTTAAGTGTGTGTGTGTGTGTGTTGTGTGAGTGAGTGAGTGTGTGTAAGAGAAAGTAAGTAAATTACCAAATACAACACAATATTACCATCTAAAAAATACTTTCTTGGACAAATAAATACAACCATAACTAAACAAAAAATATATACCTTAAATTTCCAACCTGCATTGTGTTCAGGTAAACAAACTGCATTAAGCACAGCAGGGCGTTTGTGATGTTGTAAATAATGGAACCTTACACAACCACTAACCACTATCACCTATATGCCTGCACCTTTTACTCCCCACTATAAAAAGACAGAGAGAAATAGTAGTGTATCTTTACACATTAGTGCACATTAGTGAAAGGCTGGGCAGGTACAGCGGGCATGCAGTCATCCCTCTCACTTCCAGTACTTACTGTGAGTGGTACTGGCAGCGTGGGTCGGGGAGGTGCAGGAAGGTGATGTCGTAAAGCTGAGCTGTCGTAAACCAGGTGCGGAGAAGGGGAGGTGAAAGAGAGGGAGAGGAGGAGGAGGAGGGGGGAGAGGGGGTGAGAGAGGAGGTGACTCTCCGGCAGCATTTAGACACAACGAAAGGATCATGGCGGATGGCCCCAGGTGTAAGCGCAGAAAGCAGGCGAACCCGAGGAGGAACAACGGTGAGTTAAAGTGCTCCCGACGCGGAGCTTTTCTTTCGGGGAGACGGTCCGGAGGCTGTTCTGTCTGCCGGTAATTTCACCGAAAAGTTTGGCAGCCCACAAGTCCGGTTTTCAGTAACTGAAAGTGCTGGGAAGTAGCAAGTGAGCGCTGTATTACAGCCCTATGTGGTGTACCGTTATACCTGGGTCGCGTCTCTCCCTCCGCCTAGCGGTCCGCTGCACCGGAGACCGTTATACGCACCTCACCCTGTTATGAGCGGGGCAGCTTTTGTCTCCACTTTATACATGTTTATTCAGTTTAATACACTTTGACCCCCTTTACAGGGTCTGCATTCATTGATTTAGTTTCATTCGGTCGAGTTTTTCAGCCCACCACCAAACTCGGACCTGTTTCTGTGGCTACCTGATTGTTATTGCGGACCTCGACAGACCGGTTGTCTTTTACAATTCGGGTTGAAAAATAACATTAGATATAAGTGTTCTTTTGTCGAAAACGTCGTGGACATTATTTGTGTTTGTGAAACAGAGGGAACACAACTGTTTGGTTTGTTCTTTCTTTCTTTCGCTCACTCGGAGCAGGTAGCGATAGGACACTGTTGCTGCACTACACGGGCTGACAAAACCCATTTTGCCCCATATTGTCCTCCCTGGTTATGCGCCTCAAATGAGGTTTTCGTTATAGACGACACCGTTATACTGTTTTAAGACAGAAAAGAGAAGAAATGAGCGCTGTTGTTGTGTTGAAGCGCGTTTTGAGCTCTTTTCTTCATCCTCCAACTTATTACAGTGTTTCAGTTCCGCGCCGCTCGTACCGTCCCCGTTGAAAATGTTTTAACGGGTGTCTTTTGTAGTCAAGTACCGACAGAAAGCTTAACAGAAACATGGATGGGGTAACAGAGGTTCCGGAGAACGAGGAATATCTCACGCGCTGTTTGTGTGAGCAGCCCATATAAGGACAGCGGATCCTCTCCAGTCGCGCGCTGGGAATCCTGATTCTTTCACGACAGTGGACGCGAGCGAACCTTTAAACACACTCACTTTCTTTCTGTTATCGCCTGTTTAAACACAGCCTGTATACTAGTAACAAGTGGATACATAAGCTCCGTTTCGGTATGCGAGGCTCAGCGGGATTTACTGTGGTGTGAAAATATTGTTTGTATGGTTACAAAGTAGCCTACGGGGCTCTCTTCATTGAGCCTTTGTTACTCTCCTTTTTGTATAAACGGTAATTTCGCTTTTTTTAAAAGGTAAATTGGAGTTAAAGGTTAAGCTTGTGGACTTTTGCTAGTTGTTATAACGTTGGAACATCCTTTCACGCATTTACGCCGTTTGTTGTTGTGAATGCGTAGAGCGACAATTGTGCCACGGCCGTAACTATTTAGGATTATTTTATTGTGAAAGGGAGCCTTTTTTGTCGCGGGGCTGACAACATGTGTTGTGTATCAGCTGCTCGTGTGTTGGGCCACCCAGTGTAGCTGAAAGGAACTGGGGTAATGCAGGAAATTCTGCGTTATTTTTGTCGAAACAAACCAGTCTGATCAGATATGGGATGAGCGGAGAGTCGCTACTTTCTGAAAGCAGTAGTTGGTGGGAGGAGAGGCAGCGGTGTTTTCTAGTGCGGGGTAACTGCTGTCGTGTGAATTCTCTGTGGATACCCGATGAGTGGCTTCTTTTTTTTATGCTTTCCACTGTTTTTCATGGGCTGAGTTCAGCTATTCATTTGTGCGCAACGTGTGGACACACCTCAGATAACGGTCCTCCTGCTGTCAAGGTGTGGATATTCCTCTGGCCTGTGAGGGAAAGGAGAGTCTTATTTACTCTGGAGATGTCTACCTATCATACGTTGCTTCATTTCCACCCCTTTAACTTAACACGGTTTTATTAAACGTTTCTGAACAATGACACAGCCCTGTTGTCATTTAAAGTCACATCCTTAACCAAACAGATGTGTCCCCTGTTACTTAGCCTCATTTGCATTTGCTTCAAAAGAGCCATCAAGGTCTGCTTTTAAGCCCTCACTTCCTCCCACCTTCTGACAAGGCCGGTGATCTGTCATGTAAATCGACATCTCTGCTTTTTGAAGGAAGTTCGAGCGAAGGCCGGCGTTGTTGCGTGTTCTCTTGTTTTTGTCCCATTTTTACAACAAGTTGGCAGTTTAACATGTGCTGCTGTCCCCTCAGGCACCAACGCCCGCCTACCCTTTTTTATGGTGAAAAACCCCCAAAAGTTTCAACAGAATCTCTATTGAGCAGGCCCTCGAGCTGGGCCCAGCTTGTTATGGTCGGTGGCTTGGCTAGCGGGGGCAGCAGATCAAGGTGAGCTCCGTTCCCCGCTGTAAACAGAGAGGTGTTAACAGCCCGCAGGACGACAGGTGTTTGCAATCGGCGGGACACTGCAGCTTCCTTTTGTCGCGTCTCCCCAGTCAGCTCCCCTCAGGAATTGCAGCCGTTCCCTGCAACGGTAATTTAACACAGCAATTTGGGAGTAGAGGAATGCGCCCGGCGTTAACATTCCCTGCAGAAATAAACAGGGCCGTGCTCTGACAGCTCTGTGGCCGTGCTCAGGGGCTCGGGCCGGTGTTTGCAGAGACACCTTGGAACGAGTGTGCATACAGGTAGCTAGGATTTCTGTCAATATCATACGGGTCGTCTGTCTCATCCCCCTAATCCCTCTCCCTTGCTGAGGCCCACTCACACACACTTGCACCTTGATGAATCATCCATCAAATAAGGAAAATGAGGTTGTGGGCTTGGCACTTGGCAACAACTCCTGTAATGTTGAAGAGCATGTTTATTGGCCTGGTAAAACTATACTTATACTATACTTAGTGCCCTGGACTCGCTCACCCTGTCTACAAACTATCCAACACAAGCACACGCTGTACGTTTGCAGGAGAACAATCAAAAAAACAGTATAGGGTGAGAGGAGCAATGGCGGAGGCTTGGGAGGAGGTGGGGATTGGCTCTGTGGCTCCACATGCCACTTCAGTGTTTTTAAAGACATCTGTTTACATTTAAAAGGTCCACCCCTGTTGTGTGAAGAGTTTAGCAGAGGAGGAAATTTTTCATTTATCTCGCTGCTTTTCACCAACTTCCTCAGCAGCTTCATTTGAAAGTGCCAAGTGAGAAGAAAATCCCCCCGCCTCCGCTCTCCCTCTCTCTGTCTCTGCCCTCTCACTCCTCCCTTCAGAGACCGTCTTTTATGCTGGGGGTGGGGGGGTTAAGACACAGTAGCCAGGGGTGCTGTTGATTGCCCCCTGACCTAGGCACCCATGCGTGCGTAGAGTATGACTTCACTTTCCCCCCCTGTGCCATTGTGAGGCTTCCAGCATGTCCAATTGTGTTTGTGTTTAAGTCTGTTCAATGAAAGGGGAAGAGAGGAGGAGGAGGAGGAGGTTGGGGGGTGTTGGAGCTGAAGCTTTTTCTCCTTCACTCCGTCCATTCCTCTCTGACCGCTTTAACTGTAGGGCTCCACGTTCCCTGTGGAGCCCAAAGGGGGGATGGAGAGAGTTGGTGGGAAGTGGCTGAGGTGACTAAAGACTTTTACAACAGGTGACAACTGAGGGACTGGCGCTGGCAGATGGAAAGCATGACACATGTGACAGCTATCTCCCAGGCCTGTGTGGGTGTTAGGGTCACAACTAGATGAATGTAAGCAAAAACAACCCCAAAATATGTCAGATCTGATACAGGTACAGCTCCAAACCTTTTACTTGGTAGTGTTTGTTAACTCTCTGGAAAAAGTTTTCTTTCTGGCTAAGCCTCGTCCCTCAACACGTCCGTCAGGGTGGGAAAAGGCCTGTCCTCGCCTGACCATTGAGCGGAATTAAAATGATGTGATGTACGACCACACTCCCACCTCTGTTAAGGCAGCTTAATGATTAGCTGCTCCCATGGAGGCTGAGAGCATTAGCCTATAAAAAGGTGCTCTCCCTTCGTAAAGAAGGAGTTTTAAACCCAGAGTCAGTTTCAGTAACCCCCTTAACTGTGCTTGGATGTGCTTTATTGGGGTTTGTGTGGCTGAATGCTTAAATGAACCATTGTGTGTTCAGGCTTTAGTGAGAAAGCCTAAGGAGAAAGAGCCTAGTTACCTTTGCAGTTTGCCTGCTCTACCTCATACACTTTCAGTGGCAGAAGAAAAGGCCCATTCAGCGGGCCCGGCATGGGGAGGGAGAGCCCTTTTCACACTCGGCTTGTGGGAAACTTCTCCTCCATACTGTGCATGCCATTTGCATATGACCCATTCTTTTCCCAAAGGTCCCCGTGAGGGAGGAATCCGTGGAACGTTCACAGAATTCATCAAATCCCTCTCTCACGCAGCCCTCGGGCCCTCAAGGGCCTGCTTTGCAGCTCTCTGTTTGACATTTTTGTCTCGGAAATGTAGCTTACGTCTGCGTCACGCTTTGCTCGCCTTAACTTCACCGCCGACGCATCCCCGTGGCATTTCTGTCCCGTGTATTTTAAAGTGGCAATGCGCGATACCCAGTGTGCTGTTTTTAATGTCAGGGTGAAGGCTTAATTTGGCACAGCAGGCAGGAGTTTCCCCAGATCCCCAGCATGGGCCGTAAAGAGGGCCCACCTGCATGAGGGGCCAACGTGATGGAGGCCATGCACCTCACAGGCTAACTGATCACACAAAGTATATGGACAGGGGGTAATACAAGGATGAGGGGGGGGGGAGCTGGTTGCGACGCGTCAGCTCAGTGAACTGAACAAAAACACGACCGTTGAAAGATCATTGAGGTACTGTAGTGACCACACCCGCTGCCTTGATGCCACACAACATGTAGAACAGTGTCCACACTGCCATGCTTGTTATCGTTGAGTCACTCGCGTTGGTCTGCAACAGCTGTGACAGCCCTGACCCTAAACACTGATACTGACACAGAGAGTGGTGCAAGCTAGTATTTGTTTCAGTGCAGGGATTTTGTTTCAGCCTCCCCTGCCCTCTTCTCCTCTCTGACTCCACTGAGTCACAGGTGTGTTTGCAAAATGACTTGA